ATTAACTTGTTTTTTAACTTTGCATGTTTGTACATATTTTCAGTTATGTGTTTGTATCTGTACGTGTATGTCTGTCTGTCTATACACACATCAGAGATGTGCTTTAGCACTGTTATTATTCAGTCGACTGTGTTTTCTTGGAGGCTCTTCTCTCCTGATGATCATCAGACCAGTATCGAAAATGGTAAGTGTGTCCAAAAACTGCAGAATGCACTAAATATATTCAGTTTAAAAATAAAAAAAGGAATTAATATAATAAGACAAGGAGTTTTAAATCTTGATAACTTATATGCATGATGTCCTCCAGCTTAAATGCACAGATTCATACTGAATTCATAATTTAATATAAAGTATTTGACAAATCATGTCTCTCTTCACAGGCCACCATGATTGCGTCTGTCTTTGAACTAGCCTCCAAAACTATTGCTGTCATCTTCATACTAATAAAACTAATTAAAGTAAGACTTTTTTTTTACTAGACTGAACTTGTACTAAAATTATTATTTGCTTAACCATGGCAATTGACATCTAATTTATTTTGCTGTACATGTTTTTGTGTCAGTATGAGTGTGTGTGTGAGTGTGATAGTTTGCAGATTGTGTTTACTGCTTTGACAGTGTCTGCCATGGCTTCAAGCCTGCTGCACACTCTCACCGTTTTCCTTCACTGTGGACCAAGCCATGAATTGTGAGTGTAATCTTCACATATCAGTGTCTCTAGTGTCACCAGACAGAACTGCAGAAATAACTGTTTCCTAACAGGTTTTGTCTGCCATTGACCTTAGCCAGTGAGTGTAGCGCCATATTTAATTTTTGACAGGAATTAAACTGCTGTTTAACAACATACTGATTGTTCATCTGATGAAACGTCTTGCCAAAAAAAGTCCAGTAGACAAAAACTCCATGAAACAGTTCTTCACGGAGAAAATTACATAATCTAGGACCACTATAAAGTGTTTGCAGTGTAGCCATTGTCTCACAGCCTTGTTAAACCGTGTTAAATTCAATATGGCGTTTAACCTGATAACGGTCTATTACAGTATCACTCATTCAGCAAGAATAAGAAAGATTTGAATGAACTTAGAATCATGACACTTACATGAAAGAACTTTTGACTGATCATCTAAAAACTTTGACTTACAGAAGGAAGTGTTGGCTCTGTGCCATCATAACTTTTGGCCTAATGAATACTATCATTACAAGTAAGGTTCAGTTTTTCACATTCTTTAATAGTGCATTCAAGTGTTTCGTAAAAATTTTGTTCGTAGTATATATAACTTTTTCCATTATTTTGGAGATTGGTGTAGGTGTAAATATTCATGTAAAATCTCATGCAAACTCCAAATCTCATGTAAATTCAGATTTACCTAATAATGAAGCGTTAGGTTATAATCCTATTTTGTTTCCGTTTTTTTTACTGTAGCAACTGCAATATTCTTTGGAATATGGTGCTTTCAAGAGCGCTGGCTGCCATCATTAATGGGAGTTTTTGTTATTTGGGAGTTCATGCTTTATCTTAGCTCAGTTAGCTTTGAACAGATGGGAAAGTACCAGTCAAGAAGTAAGTATCCTTGGTACCAGCCGACTCAAGGCACTAGTGAGATTAACACAAAAACCTCATAAATAGACTTTATGGACTTTTAAAGAATTTATGTGTTATCAGTCACACCCAGGCACAGTTGTGTGTACTTCCTTATGCATGATTTTCACAGTAAAAAAAGATCCATAGAGATGGATTATTTTGGTTTCATCCTACATTCCATTCTATTTTATTAATGGCCATACAGTCTCATTTGTTTGCATTTGTATGTCTGCAGAAAATCAGAATCATGTTCTGGGAAAGAGGGTAAGTGAACTTTACATTCTTTACACATCTTATCGTATATCTTATATTTGTGTATAGAGCCATTCCATGTTCACGTAAGCTGCTTATTACACATGTATTTGACTATAAAATAAACTTTACAGTGTATAGCAGCTCCACAAATATTTTATGGCACCAGACCGTCAACATCCACAACATCTTAGGAACTCACTAAAATAACCATGCATGCATACCGATATTATGACCTTAAATATTACACATTAAACCTCTTTTCTTTTTTCTTTTCAGATATCCCCATGGCTGTTTACGTTTATCATCTTTTTAGTGTTTAATGCAATGTTTACAGCTGCACTCATGACTGGAGTGTCTTTGGTAAAAACAAAAAATTGTTGAAGGAACATCTGCAGATTAGTGAATATGTTATCTTGGTACTTTTGTAGGACTAAGCGAATATGGGTGCAACTTTTTACAGCCCTAGTACATCAGTAATCCTTCAAAGGTATATGAATAACAACTTTACTGGAGTTAGATTAATTGTATTGGTGTCAGATAAGTAGCTGAATTATGCACATGATCTTTCAACTGCTTTTTATGATTATTGGTTCAAAATTGCAGTGTGGCCTGTTCACACTAAGAATGATGATAACTATACTATTGTTCTAATTGTATGAGAATATAGAAGTCCATATCACAGCTATAACGATAATGACACAGATGGACAATATCGTTGGAATCACTTTCACATCGATTTTCTCCAGCTGATGAACGATAAAAATATTGACAGCCAATCAAAACCCACTCGAATATTAAGAGCTTGAGTATTTTAAGTAGCAGATGACAAAGTCGTCAGTGCACATTTACAGTGCGTCATTGTGCATTGTTGTGGATGCTAAAATAGTTATCGTTGTCTTTATAGTTATTGTTATTAGCGAACGGGCCTTAAGAGTCCACCTTTTTTACTTTGCTCTTACACATCAACTAATTTACTGTACAATATTAATTTGTATATATGTATCTGTATGTATTTGTAGATGCTTTTTATTATTGTAAGTTAAGTGGAGTACAGTGGTGTTAAAAATTCTTAATTGATAATCTTCATTTTGGTTACTCTTCCAAATGATGTGCACTTATATTGAAAATGTATGTTAAATAAAGTCATTCACCAAATATTTTATTTATAATAAATATATTCATACAAATATTCATTCATCACCACATAAATTGATGATTTTGTTGTCGTTGTTCAGTGTTTTAACACCAAAACATTTACGCAATTACAGTCATGCAATACTGCTATAAAAAATAAACTGAACAGTTTGAATAATATGTAATACTTCCTTATGTGTCTCACATTCCATCAACAATAAGAATTTATTGATTGGGGACAACCCAGTTTCCCATTTACTTTTCTGCTTAACTGACAATTCAAATAAAAGCTCAGACCTGAACTGTTTCTGTAAAACAATGGAACTGTGCTTACAAGAACTTTGAACTTGTAGATATCTGGTTATGAATCTTCCTGGGGTGTTTACAGTGCATTACAGTGTTGAGTCATGTCACTGGCAGACCCACAGTCAAATTTGTACTTGCCCTTCCGTGTGTGTGTGTGTGGTTTTCTATAACTTGAATAGTATGCTTATGCTTTCAGCTACCATGTATTTGTGTTCACAGTACATGTTGAAATTAACATTTAAGTCCATTATGAGTAAAATCAAACATTTAATTAGCTGTAAAATACAGCTGAAATGCGGATGCAGCTTTTATCACGAAATATCAAACTGTTGGATGGGGCGGCTGACAGCAAATAAGAATTTGTTTGATTAATAACTATAACTCATAAAAATCACTGTTTAACAACTATAAAGTACATCTATAAAAGGGTAAAAAAAAGGATCTGAAGTCTCTGAATAACTAAGGCACTATTTTGAAACATTTTTGATTCCCACAGACTGCTGCGATACGGTCATTTATGCAGTTAAAAGCAATAAAAATGATACACTACCGTTCAAATGGTTGGAGTGAAAAAGATGGGAAAATTTTGAACGGTAGTGTACCATTTTTATTGCTTTTAACTGCATCCCCCCCCCCTTTTTAATAAATTATTTATTTCCTTATTATTCTTTCCTCAAACAATGCTACAAAAGATCTCCATTTCAGATAAGTGGTGTTCTTTTAAGTTTTCTATTAAACAAGGTATCCTGAACAAAATCACGGTTTCTACATATTAAGCAGCACAACTTAACATTGACCGTAATAATAATAAAACAAAAATGTTTCTTAGGAATCAGATCGGCATTTTAGAATGCTTTCTGAAGGATCTTGTGGCAATGAAGTCTGGAGTAATTGCTGCTGAAAATTCAGCTTTGCCATCACGGGAATAAATTACATTTTAAATCGCAAAAGTATTTCACGATATTTTTCTTTTTAATTGCATGAAAGACTTATTTCAAAAACATTTAAAAAAATCTCACCCCAAACTTTAAAAATGCAGAATGAGAAAATTATACAACAAGAAAAGAAATATAGACTCACTTTTAATTATTATAATCTTAGTCACACACACATATATATAACACCAAACCAAAACAAAATTTTGATTGGTAAGAAGAGCGTAGCTGACAATTCAGAGTTTAACTTCAGAAATCAGTGCAAAACTTCAATCATTACCGCACCTGGCCTTCGGAAGGAATGTACAACAATTAATTTGCGAATTTATATTGTAAGCCAAATGCTTACTATATGATGCCAAATGCATTATTAGCATTATCATTATTATTATTATTATTATATGATCAAGCGTCACGCATTTTATCAAAGGAAACAAAGAACCAAAATGTAGGCAAATACAAAACCATTTGTATAAAACATTTATAACAAATACATTTTTAAAAACCTCTTTGGAATAAAGATCCTCTATGTACATTTATGTGGTCCGCACATCCATGAACTAGACCACTTTAACTCCAAACTCTACAAAATGACTTTTCCAGCCCAACAGAGTGATGCAATCTTATGATTTTCCACAAGGTTATGCCTTACAACCCTGCTGTTCAATTTTCTCTTCTGCAGCCACTGGCAGGATGAGGTGAGAAATTCTGCTCCACAGTCCACTCAGTTTATCCACATCCATTTGATTAAACATAGTGGATTTTTTTGAAGTATATGATCAAGCGTCACGCATTTTATCAAAGGAAACAAAGAACCAACATGTAGGCAAATACAAAACCATTTGTATAAAACATTTATAACAAATACATTTTTAAAAACCTCTTTGGAATAAAGATCCTCTATGTACATTTATGTGGTCCGCACATCCATGAACTAGACCACTTTAACTCCAAACTCTACAAAATGACTTTTCCAGCCCAACAGAGTGATGCAATCTTATGATTTTCCACAAGGTTATGCCTTACAACCCTGCTGTTCAATTTTCTCTTCTGCAGCCACTGGCAGGATGAGGTGAGAAATTCTGCTCCACAGTCCACTCAGTTTATCCACATCCATTTGATTAAACATAGTGGATTTGTTTGAAGTGACAAACTTCTGTTTAACCTGGTCATGTACCATGTCCTCCACTGCACTTAGACTGGTCGTCGGGGCTATTTCATCCACCGAAAGCATCACTGTGAAGACCAGGAAAACCTTCTTGTAAGCAGCATTCTCGTGGTCACAGTAACGATAGAATATAAGCGTAGATCCAGGAGGGAGCTCCTCAAAACGGTGCACAACAGCTGCAGGTTTATCACCTTCAAATGCTTCCCTCAGCGCTTCATCAATCTCCAGCTTGACCTGGTTACTGTCTTGTGTTCTTTTGGTGGTTCCTTCGATTTCTAAGATCGAAGCATTATGGGTAGCGGAGTACGTCATGGCTAAGCTTCGAGCAAGGCAGCCCAACGTCCTTTCAGCTTTAAGGCCAGCAGTCAAAATTACACTGACCGGTTCAGAGGGGTTGACCATCTCCAGGTGGCTCTTAAGATGTTTCCCACTCCTCTTCCAGAACACTGAGCGCTGACTGGGAAAAAGATCCTGTAGAGCTGCTAAATCCAGATCAAATTTCTCCACTGGTTTAGGATGGACCACATCATTTTGAGGCAATGAGCATAAGAACTTTTGATAAGCCAAAAAGCCCAAAGCCAGTAATCCTGTCAGTATCAGAGACCACAGAAGAAGCTTGCACACATACGACGTCCAGACTAGGAAAACATTAAGTTCCGAATTAACAAAACACTGTGGATGTGAGACAAATCTGTCTGCTTTCATTTATAAAGGAATGGATGAAGGACTCAAAAATACCTTTAGAGGAGGAGGGTGGACTTGCTTTTGAGGTGACTGGTTTCTGCAAATTCTTCAATTCTTGAAGACAAAGTAAAATAATTATGATCTACAAATTCTTCAATATTATCGATTTTTCAACAATTTTTGATTATATATATATCTTTAGTAATAAAATACAAACCCAATTCCAAAAAAGTTGGGACACTGTACAAATTGTGAGTAAAAAAGGAATGGAATAATTTACAAATCTCATAAACTTATATTTTATTCACAATAGAATATAGATAACATATCAAATGTTGAAAGTGAGACATTTTGAAATGTCATGCCAAATATTGGCTCATTTTGGATTTCATGAGAGCTACACATTCCAAAAGAGTTGGGACAGGTAGCAATAAGAGGCTGGAAAAGTTAAATGTACATATAAGGAACAGCTGGAGGACCAATTTGCAACTTATTAGGTCAATTGGCAACATGATTGGGTATAAAAAGAGCCTCTCAGAGTGGCAGTGTCTCTCAGAAGTCAAGATGGGCAGAGGATCACCAATTGCCCCAATGCTGTGGCGAAAAATAGTGGAGCAATATCAGAAAGGAGTTTCTCAGAGAAAAATTGCAAAGAGTTTGAAGTTATCATCATCTACAGTGCATAATACCATCCAAAGATTCAGAGAATCTGGAACAATATCTGTGCGTAAGGGTCAAGGCCGGAAAACCATACTGGATACCCGTGATCTTCGGGCCCTTAGACGGCACTGCATCACATACAGGAATGCTACTGTAATGGAAATCACAACATGGGCTCAGGAATACTTCCAGAAAACATTGTCGGCGAACACAATCCACCGTGCCATTCGCCGTTGCCGGCTAAAACTCTATAGGTCAAAAAAGAAGCCATCTTTTTAGTGGAAGTCTGGGTTTAAGATCCTCACTATACAAACCTAAGACAGAAGAGGAACTGGTTAACTACCTTACAGAAATATGCCAACAAATGTAAGATTTTTGTTAAGTATTTTTGCTTGTGCGTCAGCAGAAACCTACACAGACTATGATCTTGACAAGAAAATTAATGATTTTTAACGTAAACAGACACATTAGCAACTATACACTGTGTGAACTTTATTAATAATCTTATAAAAAATCTTTACAAAATGTATCTAAACGATATATTAAAATAATGAAACTATTAGCTCGTTAGCTCATATGCTCAAGCTAAACCGTGGATATTAAAAAGTAAAAAAATATATAAAAATGGTAGCCTAGTTAACAAATAATTCAAAAGGTTATATAACAAGCTTAGTCTACTGACAGAAAAAGAGAATAGCTTTGGAAGTACATTTTTGCTCCGTATTATTAATAGCATGAGAGGCACAGATGCACTTGTGAGACAATCTGTACGAAAATCGCATGGTTTTACGTTATCACAAAGAAACGTAATGTACGGAAAGATTGATCTTGAAATAGTTTACAATTCATTTACTGATAACAAATACTGTCTACAGGCACAAGCACAAGTACGTAATCGAAAAGCAAGCAGCGAGTGCTTTACGTTTCACACTTCAGTATTAGAAAGCCTAACCTGTCTTGGATGCCTGTCTGGCGCTTCTCCTCCTGGAAGATACGTCTTTAGAATCACCCGAGTCCATTTGTTTTATATCACACCACTCAAACTTTTTACTTTTCCTGTGTAGCCGAACACGGAAAACGGAACATTACTGATGGTTTTCGTCGGAGCGACTTCAGTGGAACACAACTTCTCTCCCGGAAATAATAGTTGACAATCACAGTTAGTTTCACTTCTGTAAATGCGTTAGTACCGCACCAGAACTCATTCGTGTTTATCCCTACCCTTTAAACTACCAGAAACACGTCATAGGAAGCAGAGTAGAGCTGATACATTTATTAAGGCACGTTTATTTTCTCTAATAAAGCTTTGAAGTAGAAAAAAAAAAATCACCCATACAACAAATATAACACGTTCATCCGTGGCCAACCACATTTACAGATTAAAAATAACTTTAATGTAAGACATAATTTAGATGCATACAGATCTACATAAAAACTAAGAAAGAAGAACTAAAAAAAAAAAATGGGGAAACTTCCTTCATTTTATCCTTTTATAAATTTCATAATCTGAAAAGTTGTAATTCAGTGTGAAAGAATGAAAACAGGCCTATGCAGCAGCACGTACCTATATGCATTTATATATCTTTTTGTCTGAATCCAAAGTATGAGTCTAATATTTAAAGTTAAAAGTAATTTGTGGGAAGAAAAAGTGTGATAACTGTTTTCATAATGATTTATCCCAATCCTCACAGCCCTGCTCTTCAATTTTCTTTTCTGCAGCCACTGGCAAAATGAGATGTGAAATTCGGCTCCACAGTCCACCTAGTTTGTCAACATCCATTTGATTAAACATAGCTGACTTGTCAGAGGAGACAAACTTCTGTTTTATGTGCTCTTGAACCATCTCCTCAACTCTTCCTAGACTGACATTGGATGGCAGTTCCACTTCTGCATCAAGCATTACAGTAAAGGCCAGGAAGACATCTTTATAAGCCGCATTCTCATGGTCGCAGTAACGGTAGAAGATGAGAGTGGATCCAGGAGGGAGCTCCTCAAAACGTTGGATAACTGCAGCAGATTTTTTACCCTCAAAGGCTTTTCTCAATTCACCATCAATGTCCAGCTTGACCTGATCACTGTCTTGTGATGCTTTGTTTTTTCCATTAATATTCAGAACTGAAGTGTTATGTGCAGTAGAAAAGGCTCGGGCCAAGCATAGGGCCAGGCAACCAAGCGTCTTTTCAGCTCTGTGACCAGATGTCAGAATCAGGCTGACGGGTTCAGTGGGGTTCTTAGTCTTTAGGTGGCGCCTGAGATGAATAAGACTCCTCCTCCAGAGCTCTGGATGCTGATTTGGAAAGGTAGTCTCAAGTTTTTTCATTTCCTGATTGAATACGTCCACCACATTACACTTGTTTGGTATAGGTGGAGTTGAGTCAGGACTACGCTGACATGATGTAAAAACCAAAGCTAACAGAATGACAGCAGCTGCTGCAGTCCAAAATATTTCTGTGAGAAAAGAAATTAATACAGTAAAATACTGTCTGCTTGCAAAAGTAGACAAGTAATTTGTTTATAAGTTAGTACATTCAGAGAGGATAGGAAAACTCACTATTATTCCATTGCACGATGATCTGTGGTTGGACGTTCTCATCCCTCTTCACATCTTCTTCATATATATCGCTTGCCGTCCCTTGCATAATGATCTGTGGTTGGACGTTCTCATCCCTCTCCACATCTTCTTCATATATATCGCTTGCCGTCTCTTCTTCTTCAGGCTTTTGGATATTAAGAGGGGATTCTGTGTTGATTTAAAACAAAGATAATGAGAACAAACATTAGCATACCAAATATGTTTTGGTCACTGAAGCAGCCACAATTCTGTTGTCTATAAGGGAATGTTGAATATTATAAATTCACAATGTGAAACAAAAAACACATCTAATAAAAGTTAATACTTGACCTCTAACTCCCTGCATATTTATATTTCCCTGTTCAGAGACCATTAATTCCAACAAGCACTAATTCTGAATCAAAAAGCATGGCAAAAACTTCCTGTTAAATCTACACACACATTTAAATAAATAATATAAAAATACATTTAATCAGAAAAACTAAGATCAACTATGTTGTAGTCTACCTCCACAACCTACTGAAAAACTACTAAATATGTATTCGATATAAAAAGCATGGTAATAATTTCCTGCAAACCAGACCCACCATCATCTTCGTTAGGTGCCTTTTCTGGCAAAGCATCACCTGACGGGCCTGGAAATAGAAGCAGAAGAAAAGTTTGAGCTATTTTGTTGACAGTGGCTGTTAAATCTGATTCCTCTCTGATTCCTGACCTGGTTCCAACCTCAGAACTGCTTATGCTTAACCACACTTATAGAAAGCAAGCAAATGCATTAATATGCTTTATTCTAAGACAAAATACCTTCTTTTCTCTCAGGGTTACAGCCTTTTTCTCCATCCACTTCTTTATTAGGTTCTGTGCCAGAGTGAGGGTGGTTCTTGGTCTCAGAACTACTGGGAATCGGTGTCATCTGTTCTGTGTGTCAGACAAAGAAAAGTATATAGTGTTGTGTGCAATAACTGAACATAAACAGCACTTTAAAGCATTACAACACACACATTTAAATAAATAATATAAAAATAAATTTAATCAGAAAAAATAAGACCAACTATGTTGTAGTCCACCTCCACAACCTACTGAAAAACTACTAAATATGTATTCGATATACAGGTACTATCTCAAAAAAGTCAATAATTTTTGTCACTCATTTCAGAAAGTGAAACCCATATATTATATAGATTCATTACACAGAGTGAAATATTTCAAGGCTTTATTTCTTGAAATTTTGATGATTATGGCTTACAGATAATGAAAACCCAAAATTCAGTGTCTCAGAATATTTGAATATTGTAAAAAAGTTTAATATTGGAAAATCATGGTATCACACCCTAATCAGCTAATTACCTCAAAACACCTGCAAAGGTTTCCTGAGCCTTTAAATGGTCTCTCAGTCTGGGTCAGTAGGCTACACAATCATGGGGAAGACTGCTGACTTGACAGATGTCCAGAAGACAGTCATTGACACCCTCCACAAGGAGGGTAAGCCACAAAAGTTAATTGCTAAAGAAGCTGGTTGTTCACAGAGTGCTGTATCCAAGCATATTCATAGAAAGTTGAGTGGAAGGAAAAAGTGCACCAGCAAAAAGGATAACCGCAGCCTTGAGAGGATTGTCAAGCAAAATCCACTCAAGAATTTGGGGGAGCTTCACAAGGAGCGGACAGAGGCTGGCGTCAGTGCATCAAGAGCCACTACGCACAGACGAATCCTCGACATGGGCAACAAATGTCAGAAGCGTCTTACCTGGGCTGTGGAGAAAAAGAGATATTCTAATTTTTTTTTTAGATGTACCTGTATACAATACAATATATTAAATATATAATGTATTGAGATACAGCTGTATCACTGCAAAGCAGAATGTGGCACAATAATCACGTTTTCCAGTTATCTTGTTTTCATAATTGCAGCAATCCAGAATCATAATTTAAAATAACATTTGATTAAACACACAGTCCTATTTGTAAATGTCAAACTTATCTCCTCTGCATATTTTTTGTTACATGACAATGAATAACTAAATGTAGCCACTGTAAACTCTCTAAACATGAATGATATGATGTGCAAGCATACCTGTTTGTGCCTCCTCAGGTTCACTGCTACTCTCACTTTTCTCTTTTGTATCATGTCCTGGGTCAGACCTAGAGTCAGTTCCTTGCTGCATGGCATCTGAAAGTTGACAGGAAAGCGTTCCTGTTTCCTCTTTGTGTCAGACAAGTTAAAGTATAGTGTTGTGTGCAATAACTGAACGTAAAGAGTGCTATAAAACATTACAACAAACAAATCTGTAACTAGTGCTGCTCAATTACAGCGAAAATCGTAATCAAAATAATTTTTATTTTACAAAATAAAAATTAATAGTTGACCTCCAACTCCCAACATTCTCATATCTTCCTGTTCAGCAACCATTTTGACAAGTATTAACTCTGTTTGAGTCTAAAAAGCATGGTAATAATTTCCTGCAAACCATTCCTGTTTCCTCTTTGTGTCAGACAAGTTAAAGTATACAGTGTTGTGTGCAATAACTGAATGTAAAGAGTGCTATAAAACATTACAACAAACAAATCTGTAACTAGTGCTGCTCAATTACAGTGAAAATCGTAATCAAAATAATTTTTATTTTACAAAATAAAAATTAATAGTTGACCTCCAACTCCCAACATTCTCATATCTTCCTGTTCAGCAACCATTTTGACAAGTATTAACTCTGTTTGAGTCTAAAAAGCATGGTAATAATTTCCTGCAAACCAGACCCACCATCATCTTCGTTAGGTGCCTTTTCTGGCAAAGAATCACCTGACGGGCCTGGAAGTAGAAGCAGAAGAAAAGTTTTAGCTATTTTGTTGACAGTGGCTGTTAAATCTGATTCCTGACCAGGGGCCCGTTCTTTGTACCTCGCTTAATACTTCTGTGGTGATTTGAAATATGCCAGATCTTCTAACAGTGATAACTGATCTCTGGCTAATTTGGTTCTTCAAACGAATTTGCGGATTGGATTAAAATATCTGGATTAAGTTGTCTAAGATTACTGCACGTTCTTGTGTTCCCCATAAAGGGCAAATGTATCGATATCCTCGAAACCACGATCTGCAATGCAGCGTTTGGCTGGTGCCAAGACAGCAACGTAATGACATCACATCACATAATTAAAAAAAGACACCTGATGAAAAACTTGACAAATTTCTGGACCTTTATATGGAAACAGCCAAGTGAACAAAACTACATGAATGTTATAATAGATAAATGAAATGTGCACTGTTTTTATTTTATATATTTATTTTTTACATGATTCACAATTATTTATATTCACGATTTCTAGTATTTGTACAGGCTTTACACTTTTATTTCAATGTTGTAATTAGCAATTCATGTAATTTTATCTTTAAAGCAGATATGTTATGTAACAGCTTTAATTCAAGTTTCTTAAGGGTCAAGATCAAGTTATCTGCACCTCTTGCGCTCCATCAAGCCACTCCCATAATAGCTGTCACCACTTTAATTAATGCACGACTCCGAATAACTGTATAGCATGTGTGTAAGACTCGAATACAATTATAAAGTAATTATTTTATCACAAATAAATCTTTCAATGAGTAAAACTGGCTGTGTCTAAAGTGTTATACACAACATTATAATATTATTTTCAAATTAAATTTCAAATTCTTATTATTTTAAATTATTGTCCCCGGATTAGTAGGGTACACTTGTAATAAAGTTGCAGTGGCTGGGACAGATTTTAAATATCAATTCCACTTAAAAAGGTGCAATCTAATCCTGTTTACAAGAAATAAGCCTGCTCCCGAGCAGGTTTAAGCTTACGGACCTGTTGCTATGACAGCAACTCCGGGATGAGCTTCGAAGAACCAAATAATCCAAAATCGTGCCAAATCGTCAACAATCAAATCCAGCTAACCGAGTTAGCAACGTGCGAAGAATGGGCCCCTGGTTCCAATCTCATGCTTTATTCTAAGACAAAATACCTTCTTTTTTCTCAGGTTTACTGCCTTTCACTCCATCCACTTCTCTATTAGGTTCTGTGCCAGAGTGAGGGTGGTTCTCGGTCTCAGAACTACTGGGAATCTGTGTCGTCTGTTCTGTGTGTCAGACAAAGAAAAGTATATAGTGTTGTGTGCAATAACTGAACGTAAACAGAACTTTAAAGCATTACAACAAACACATTTTAAGAGATACACACACATTTAAATAATATAAAAATACATTTAATCAGAAAAAATAAGATCAACTATGTTGTAGTCCACCTCCACAACCTACTGAAAAACTACTAAATATGTATTTGATATATACAAACACAATATATTAAATATATAATTTATTGAGATACAGCTGTATCACTGCAAAGCAGAATGTGGCACAATAATTGCTTTTTCCAGTTATCTTGTTTTCATAATTGCTGGAATCCAGAATCATAATTTAAAATAACATTTGATTAAACACACAGTCCTATTTGTAAATGTCAAACTTATCTCCTCTGCATATTTTTTGTTACATGACAATGAATAACTAAATGTAGCCACTGTAAACTCTCTAAACATGAATGATATGATGTGCAAGCATACCTGTTTGTGCCTCCTCAGGTTCACTGCTACTCTCACTTTTCTCTTTTGTATCATGTCCTGGGTCAGACCTAGAGTCAGTTCCTTGCTGCATGGCATCTGAAAGTTGACAGGAAAGCGTTCCTGTTTCCTCTTTGTGTCAGACAAGTTAAAGTATACAGTGTTGTGCGCAACCACGGAGTGTGAACAGCACTATAAAGCATTCTGTTAAGAACACTTCAGACAAAAATGATTGACAATTAGCATACAGTTTGTATTAGCTTTATGATTCTGTTCTGGGCAGGAACTCTCCACGATAAAAGTAGGGAGCGCAGCGATATAATCAACTTCATCTTACATTGGCCCAACTTTCCAGTTTTATTCCTATTTATATTCTGAAGGTTTTTACAGAGGGGTTGTTCAAATATTATTCACCCGATTGCTATAACATTTGATTTTTTTCCAGCCGTTCTGACTTATTTATAAAAAGAGAGAAAATCCCACTTGTAAAAACCTTTAATATGCCAACAAAATGAAACAGGAATTTGAACCTGGCTTTATCCTATGTGTAAATGTATGTTGTGGAAATCTATGCTAATTAGTCTACATTTAATAAGATAATACAGCATTTACATATTTAAACATAACATTTCAAAAACATTTTGTATATTTACCACTGTTGCCTTTGTTTGCCATTTGTCTTGCACAAATGCTTCCTGTATCAGTGTGCTGTGTTGTAGCAGGGCATCTGAGATGGACCAGAATGTAGAAACAACACATTAACAAACATGTGAACCACAGTTGCCCCGGTGACACGAAAATATAGTCATATTTAAACAGTTAATGCAGGAGGAACATTACAACCTGAAATACAGCGGTACAAAAACGCGGCTGCTAAAAAGCAATGTTGCCACGTACAACAATTAGCTCCGAAACCTGTCCTTCTAGTCTGAAAAAAAACATACTTACCTAGCTGTCACCAATCAGATTTTGCCCTTCCCGACAAGTCACCAAGTCCAACTGCGCCACTGTTCTTCCGGGTGGTCCGAGGAACTGTGATTTAGTCATTTGTTTCCCTCGGAAGTATTTTGAAGAGGGATCACATGTCCGCAAAGGAGCCCTGTGTCCGAGATCGTCTTCTGTAACTTACCCTTTAAATAGGGAACTATTTGAGGGGACAGCCATTTTTAGTGGTGTCTGAGACCTTAGTGGACATTATAGAGTTCACTCATTCAATCCCACAATGCACAGCGATAACGTCTATACAACGGATGTATGCTCGACCCATACGTGCTGAACGGCTAGAAAATACCCATAATGCACTGAGTCGTTATGGAGATCAAGTTATAGATCATTTTCTTTATTACCCATGATGAGCCCCCTCGGCGAAAGTTATAATGTACTCCACATAAGCCAATCCAAAAAGGTTTTATTAATTTCTAATTGTATTTAGATTTATTTTTGTAACCTTAGAGATCATTTCTCTTTGAAAAAGCTCCTCAGTGTCAAAAATAAACTTGGTAGAGCCAGACATTTTCTGGGACCAATCAAATTTGTAAAAAGGAATAAACATTTAAAGTAGTATGAATATGCCCACTGATGTTCTTCATTTCAAGTGCATGTATTATGAATACATGTTGCAGCAATCTGATTCCAGTGACATTGTTTTCGTCTTCTCTTAATTTAGCAGAGGAATACATAGAATTTAATAAATTATAGAACACACTTCCTGATATTATTACACATCTAAAGTATTCACGTTTTCAGTCACAATAACCCCCCATCATTGTCTGTAAGGACAAACATTTGGAACCTCTCACACCACAGACGCTACATAAAAGTGAAGCAAGCGACAGAATTTTTTGCTCTTGAAAACCAGGGTACTTTTATTTGAAATACAACAAACTTGTCAACCACCAGTCTAATACAAATTCTTCACGGCGTTGAGTGGTAGAGATATAGTGAGGAAAAAACAAACAAATCTAACACCACTACAATAAATGCGACAATACATTTGTGAAATATAACTACAGTAGAAACATACCAGAAGGCACTTGCTTTTAATGAGCATTTTGAACTATTAGCATTTTGAAAAAAAAAAAAAAAAAAAAAAAAAAAATTTTTCTTGTAAAAAATTTTCACAACCCTA